CCGACGGCTGCGCAGTCCTGTTGGGTGGGGGGTTGGCAGCTGGACCCCCTTTAAACTCCACCTCCTATTGATGTCCAGAACACTAGGGCGGCCGGCAGAGTCTGTAGCCTCAGCTGGTTGTATGGAGCACGGAACAAATTATATATATGTAATTACATATATATACCTATAGATATATATATAATTACATAGATATCGTATATATAGTATACCCCAAAAACAAAGAAAGCACCAGCAGGCAAGCAACGGGGGTGAAGGTGGAAAGTAAAAATTCAGAACTGAAGTTTAAATAATCGCGTAATGTCTCTGCCCATTCTTTTGTAAAGTCTCATCAGCGCGCTCGGGGGCCTTTTCCATTTCTAAAATAACTCATTCATATATATAAAATAATATACACATATATATATATATACATTCACATGGATCCATGTGTATGTGTGTATATCTCTCTCTCTATATATGCATATATATATATATATGCCATCTTGCAGTTGTAGCTCAGATTATGCCGGGAACACCAGATCTGCTGCCACTGCCGACAAAACACCACACCTTCCAGGGAGGGGGGCGTGGGGTCGCTGTTACCCTCAGGCGCTGCCAGGCGGAACCGCCGGCTTTTCTCTCATTGGTTCAGGCGATCCATGGCTTCATCGTAAGTGATTATCCTTTTGGGATCTGGAAAAGAAGAAAGCAACAGAGACTTGAGTCCCCCCCCCCATTTGGACATTCACACTATGCGGGGAGGGGTTGAGCCAATGGGTGAGTAAACCTCCTGCCCAGTTGAAATGAATAATAAAGCCTTGTGGGGACTCTAGTTTGAGTCCCCATCTACCTCCTGAACCATGCTTTTGTAAAGAGTTGGATAGACTACTTCAACACTCTCTGTGCAGGGCGGCCCTTGAAGGCAAGCCAGGAACAGCCTCTTGAAGCCACTTTTGGGACCTCCCTTGCAAAGGAGACCCAGAACGGCGGGGATGGCCCCTTTTTCCCCTTGTACAAAACGGCTTTTAGTTACCCTTGCGGGATTGGAGCTAGCGTAGCAGAGCGCGGAAGCCCAAACCCACGCAAAATCTCTACGATGCTATGGTTTTTCCCCAGGTTTGGAAGACGACTTGACTCTTCCTGTTATTTTTGGGAGGCTTTGATTCTCCAGATTCCGGTTTTGGAAACTGTAAATCGGATAAAGGAACTTTTTGATACTCTCCTGCACAGGAAATATGGGGCAATTTCAGGAGCTACCGGGAACCCCGAACAAGGGAACCCCTTCTTCATGGGCCTCCACTGTTCCCCAAAGCTCTCCAGCGGGGGGCCTGGGAACCCGACCGGGCTCGGGAGGCGCCGCTCCCTCTCCCACGCTTTTACACGTCCTGGTGTTGGGAGGCCCAGGCAACCCGGGATCGCAGACAAAGCCCCGCAGACGACGTGCAGGGGCCTTCAAGACACCAAGGCGAGGGAGGGCTCCTGCGCTCAACGTCTCAGCCTCCTCTCCACGGCCACCACACGAACTGCAAAGCCGCGATTGCCAGGGACTGAGGAAGGCTTGGGTCAAATCCAGTCCCAGCCATGAAACTCACCCGGGGGGGGGGGCCCAGTCCCTGCCTCATCTTATCTACACCATAAAGATTAAAAAATTGATAGGCTCCACTTTTACACCCACCAAGGCCTGAATTTCTTGCCGGGAAACAACGCGGTGAAGATGCCAAATCCTTACCTTGCTTTTGTAAATTACAAATAGATTCCATTTCTGTGGGGAAAAAGAGAGAGAGAGAGAGGAGTAAATATTTACATCACACTGTACAAACCCTTAAATATCAAATACTGGTTTTCTGCTCTGAAAACGATGGGGATCAGTTTCCCGAATTTCTGAGCCCACATTCAAAGCATTCGTGCAAAAATAAAATTTCGATGAAGCTTTCAGGAGCACCTATATGGGAAAAGGGGGTACCCCCCCCAAAAAAAACCCCAGCCATATTTGAAGATGACAATCTTTCTGACAGGAATTAAGGCTTCAGGACATCCTTTGGCCTTTTAGAACTGGGAGGAACCCCTTATGCAAGGTGGAAAAGTCATCCGAGGAAGGTTCCATAGAGAAGGGGCCAGACGGGATCCCAGGAAGAGGGCCAGATCCAGACCCGGGACGCAAGGCTTCCCACTTGCGCCACCAGCAACCTCCATGCCATAGATGTGGAGGGTATCCCACCTCCGCCCGCTAAACGGAACTAGGTCATTCCACAAGCGACCCACGCCCCAGACAAAAAAAAAAGGCGTAGGAGGCTTGTAGTTGGACTCACAAGTCGTGCCCTGCAGCCAAAGGCTGGGAGGGGCCGGAAAATTCACACAGAGGGCGAAGGGTGGGCAAAGGCACCCACCTGCAGCTGCTCCCACACACACACACAACACACACATGCCCAAAAGCGCTGAATTCACAACTTGTCTCTTCCTTCTGACCCAGTTGGCTACTGAAGCACAGCTGACGTTTGTGGACGGCGCTGAGCTGGGGGGGGGGGCTCACGAGAAGCACCAGCAGAGACGGGAAGGAGGAGAGAACCAAGGCAGGAGGAGGAACCCACTTCACAAGAACAGCCCGGAGGGAAAACCCGTCAGCCTCGCTCGGCTGGAGAGGCCAGGCGCTTCCAGAACTTCTCGGTGGAGACAGAAACGTCTCCGCTCTCCCTTCCCGAGAGGCAGCCTACAAGGCACGGGGAACCATTCCCGGTGGCCAGGAAAACCTCACCCAGATCCTCTTCTCTGAAGGATGCCATCGGCCTGAAGACCGCAGGGCTTCGGGTCACAGAACAGCAGGAGAGGAAGGGACCCGAAGTGTCATCTAGTCCAGCCCCATGCCAACTCACAGAGCCTCCTGATCCTGGCTGAAGAGTGCCCCCCCTCCCCCAGAAAGAAGCACCCGTTTCCCCCGACAGCAATCTGAGATGCTGCTGGAGATTTATTGGGGGATTCTCAGGGAAAGGTCTGCTTCTTTGGAGAGAAACTAGGCATCAGAGGTAGGAGCGCTGGCTCCTTTGCATAGCCGGCTCCCCTCAAACCAAACCTTTCCCCAGCTCTGCCCCCCAGCGCTCCTAAACCCAGCACCCTTGCGCCTGAGAGCAGAAGTGGACGGGTAGCAAGGGAAGGAAGTGCTGCGGCCCACCTGAGAAGGCACAACACGACTCGAGGAAGCGGATGGCCAGAAAGGAGCATATTGTCTCTTCCGAGCCCGGCGCCACTGCTCTCCAAGCCCCCGCCCCCCGAACAACAATCTTATGACTTTCGCTGCCCCCCCCATCCCGGCCAAGATCCAACTACAGTTCCCAGCAGTTGGCTGCGTACACCAAGGCACGCTCTGGCCCAGCACAGGGCCCGGAGAAGTTATTTCTTGGAAACCAATCCCAAAAGCCCACCCCATAACTATATATACACATATTTCTCTCTCTCCCTCTCTCTCTCTCCGGGCACATACATTAAAACGTCTGATGCTTCTCTGGCAAGCCGCCTCCTTTCTGATCCTCTGCCAGCCACCATCAGCCTAGGAAGTCCTTTTCTTTCTAGACCCTCCCAGGGGGTGGGGTGGGGTAGAAAAGCACAGTCATCCCCACCGGGACCAACTCAAACAAGGAGGCCGTAAGCTGTTGCTCGAACCTAGAGAGGCTTTTAAAAACATTTCCTCCCCCCCCCAAGCATATCTGCACAACTCCCTAGTGCTTTGGGGAAGTCAAACGCCAGCTACCAACACAGGGCAACATCACATACAGGAAGGGAAGGGTCCCCGGAACAGTCCTCCACCCTGCCACCCCCCCCCGCAAAAGGGTTCAGGCTTTACCTTGAGTGTGATACAGAACGGCAGCCTGCAGGTCAAAGCCACCCCAGCTTTCCTTCCTTTCTAGGCCTCCCGGGGACCTCTGTTCTTTGGCGGGGGCTAAGAGACTGTTCGTAGGGGAAGCCAGGTGGCTCTCGGCTCCGTGAGAGTCCTTGGCGAGGAACACAAAGGCCCCCGGGCCGCCGCTCGGCTCAGAAGCCTGCCGGGGCCCACCCGGCAAGGGCGGCTGCGGATCCAGCATAAAGCCGCCACCGCCGCCCCCCTCGCTGGCGCCCCCCAGCTTTAGAATGCCACACAGCAGCTGCGGGCTAGTCCGCTTGTCCAGCTCGTAAGCCTTAGGGAACGCCGGGTGCTCAGGCCCTGCCGGAGGAACCGTCTCGGCCCGCCGGGAGGCCGAAGCAGCCGGTTGACCAAACAACTAGATTAATTGTCCTCCGCGGCTTGAGCGTCCGCGGGCTTTCCCCCGCCCGTCTCGGGTCCGGCGCTGGGCTCGTTGATAAACGATAATCCCCACTGGTTCTGGAAAATGTCACCCAGGCTCTGCTGGCTGGCCTGGAAGGCCGGTTCGGCTGGGGCGGCGTTGGCGTCAGCGTTGAGAAGCGCTTGCATATGGGTCGGGTAAATAAAAAGGCTGGACTTCGGCAGCTCCGCCGCTGCCGAGGTCGGGTTTCCATCCTGGGAAGCCAAGTCAGAAGGCGCTAAAAGCACGCCGCCAGCCGCTGGCACGAGGAGAGACTGAGTCCCCGCCGGGCAAGCCCCGCGGTCGCCCACCGCCAGGACCGGGCCGTTCACAAAGTTTGCGGAGGTGACCGATTTCATGGCAGACATGGGGACCTGGGAGAGGCGGGTGGAGGGCTGGGCGTGGGCGTCTGTGGCCGACGACAAACATAAAGAGGAGGAGGAGGAGGAGGAGGAGGAAGAGGAGGAGGAAGATGATGAGGCTGAGGAGGAGGAGAGGGACAGGGTGGGGCTCTGAGCCGCCTTGTTCAAGTTCTCTTTCACTTTGCTCGCGTAGCTGATCTTCGGCACTATTTTCGCACTGCTGTTGTCCACTGGGAAGACCGGGGGCGGCTTGAAGAGGGTCCACGAGTCCTCTTTCGAGGCGGAGGCCACAGGCTTCCCCTTGGGCCGCTCCTCGAACGTCTTGCCGGCCACCCCAACCTTGGCATCCGAGTTCTTCCGCAGCACATCTCCCGCGACACCCGGCTTCCCCCGGGCCGCTCCCAAGCCCCCCGGCTCACACTTCCACGCCGGCTTCAGGCTGTCCGCTCGGCCAACTCCTGCCACCTTCCCCTCCCCGCACTCGGGACTGAAACCTTCTGGCTCCTGTTTTAAGGCCGGGGCAGCAGGGGCGAGGGGAGGCTCATGCGCCCCGATCTTCTCCTGTACCAAGTTCAAGTTCTCGCAGCCCTTGGCGCTGTTCCGGCGGCCCTTACGCTTCTTGGGGGTCGTGTAGCCGCTCTCAGACCCGCTCCCATCGTTGTCCGCCCCTTTGCCGACATAACCGTTGGTGATGTAGCCGGAGCTGTGGGCGACTACGCCGTTGGGGATAAAGAGCCCCTCGGGCTTGTCCAAAGACTCTCTTTTGCTTTCGTAACCTTTCTCGGCTTTTTTGTCCGTTCCGCCTTTCGGTACGAAGCTCTTCGGCTTCAGTCCCAGTTTCCCAAACGGGCCGCCCTTCACACTCGGCTTGATGGTCAAGTTAGCCTCTCCAGGGGCCTGGCTGCCGTTGGGAACTCTGGAAAGGAGGCTGGACATCTCGCCAGCACCCAAAACTCTCAGCGAAGAGGAGTCCCGGTCTACCACGTTGCCATTGAGTTCGCCGTAGCCTGCGAAAGAAATACAACAGCGTCAAGACTGGACATTGCGAAGGGTCAAGAGCCAATCATTTATTCAAAGAAGGGCCAATCCATTAAGCCCCAATCCATTCTCAGATCCCTCTGGATTCCACATAAGGAGCTGCCCAGAGATACGTATCTTTCCCACCCCATTAAGAACAGAAATGGTTTCACACATGCTAGCAGGGAGCTAATCCCTAACCCCACCTGAGAGAAACGGTCATGGTTTATTTCTCCCCTCCCCACCACTTTGCCGGCCACAGAGATTGGCGAAACGTAAGGAAGAACCACCTTCAGAACACGGCCAAGGAGCCCAAAAAATCCACAACAACCATCACATTTCCGAAACTTTTTCTAATGCTTCTGATTAAAATTGCCCATTTCTCCAAAGAAATTTGCCCAAAACTTTGTGGCCCTAGTTCTATGTCCGTCAGAGCGGGGCCACTATTAAATCACGGAGGATACATCAAAACTCACAGACATACCATGATTTTCAACAGAGCTCCTGATATTGGAACCAACCCTTGATTTTTCAGGGTTACAAATGAGAAAGAATCGGTACCCGACATACGGCAGCTCAGATCTGACCTGAGCAATCAAAGACACAGGTGGGGGCAAAAAACGGAAGCCTCTCCACACCCCATCGCGGAAGTGGAAGAAACCAAAGATTCTCCCAGAAGGAGACAGGTAGAAAAAAAAACTTTAAGAGACAACAACTTTTAACCCAAATATCTTCACCCTACAGCTTCACATTTGTCTGAAAATCAGGCTTTAGCTGCGCTCAAGACTCCCACTCAACGTAATTCAAATCTGAACAGGCTGTGAGGAATTTACAAAGTTCTGTTTGACACGCATTAAGTCAAATAAGTCAGAACAGCCAAAGCATCGAGGTCAGCCCAGAAAGGATGCTTGCTTTCTATGTATTGGCCAAGTTTCTTTAGAGCTTGACATCACAGGATTGCAACGGTGACCTTCCTGGGTCAGGGTTTTTGGCTCAGCCACAGAAAACGCTTTTCTCTCCCCCCCCCCCCCCGGCAAACAGAAAATGCCACGTTTAATCTCCGTGAAGTCCACCTGCAAGAGGTGGCCAGCCAGAACAGTACAGGTGGGACACCGTTGCAGGCTCTGGACGGACCCGGTTTTGACTCAAGGCTTTGTGAGGCAGCCATGGCTCACAAAAAAGGTGGTCCGCACGCTAGGATCGGTGTCCTCTCCCCCTCCGCCCCTCACCTCCAAGAGCCAGTCCCGGGGGCCAATTCCCAAGGATCCGGGGAAGCACAGGGGCTCATATCACAAAAGCTGGAGAAGGCAAAGGAGATCACTCCCAACACCTGTCTTTTGACACGACGGATAAGGGTTGCCCACTCAACCCTGTAAGCATGAAAAGGACCACAAGCGGTCACATCCAAAGCTAAGGTGCGTGCGGCTTGCGGCAATTGGAAGATGGGGCACCTTCCTGTCTCCTACCTGGAGACATCTCTCTAATCCCTGCAGAATATTCGAGAAGGTGAATTAAAAGAGTGACAAAGGGGAACTTCCCCACTCGGATGCAGTGCGAAGCGGAGCATCTTTTCTGTGTGGGAAACTGAGGCCAAGGGAGTTCGGACAGACAGGCACACTAAACGCGCTCCGTGCAGAGTCACCTCCTGGCCTCTCCATGCCAAGAAAAGCAAACCGCTAAGGGTAACCACTGAGAACGGAGCGAGAGATTGCACATCCAACCTTGGAGCCCCTCGGGTAAAACACCAACACAAGAGGGTCCAAAGCCAAGCCGCACGTGTCGCTCCGCTGGGGCCACTTCTGGAGCCTTGCGCATGCAAACCAAATGGGGGTGGTTGCGGGAGAAACGTGGGGATTTCCCCCTCTGCAAATCTGCAAGGTCAAATCGGAGCTCAGCCACCCGGGGGCCATCTCTGGCTTGGAAACCCTGCTTGAGTTTTGATAGATGGCCATTTCCACCCTCCTCAAAAATGTGTTTCCCCTGCGTAAAGAACAAGCTGAGGAAGGAGAGATTTGTGCTTTTATTTTCCCATGCTCTCTTTATTTCTCTCTCTCTTTCTTTTTCCCACTAATTTATGGGGCAAACAAGTAGGTCACCCATGACCCAGCCGCCCACTTCATCTTTAATAAGAAATGATCCACGCTCGCAACCTGCATTTTTAAATCTGAGGAAAAAGGAGCCACATCACAATGGGGATGGTTTTAGAGCATTCTCTGCAAATTATACAGAAATCCTTCGGAGAAGAGGCTCCATCCTCAGAAAAGGCAGAAACAACATGTTTTGGGGTGATCAGAGGAAGTTATTTGCTCTAACCGGGTCAAAACCTGGCTTCATCTAGTCTTGCGTTTCTGCTCATTAAGGCAATTAGCGCTTCAAGGTGGTCTCCACACATGCGCACACACGCACACGCACACACACACGCCTGTTACCAAATCAACAGAGTATCAGGGCTCTCTGCAAAATAGACTTTCCCAGCCCGGCATCCTCCAGAGGCTCTGTGCTCCAGTTCCCATCTCACCCCACTGGCATCCAAGGTCATGTCCACCGGGGGCGATGGGAATCGTAATCTAACAGCCTCAAAAGCACCAGGTCAGAGAAAGGGTGCGAGGAAAACAGACCCACACATTAGACCACACTCATCGCCCACTTCTAGCATGGATCCCCCTGATCGAAACCAAGATTTTTTAAAAGGGTCCTAAACATACCCTCAAATTGAGTCCAGCTAAACTGGGGAGTGGGTGAAAAACAGGAAGAGAGAGTATTGCAATCCCCATCATTCCCAAGCGTGTGGCTTCTCAAACATAGCTGCAGTGGAATTTGCTGGGAGGCATCCCATTCAAGCACAGCCACGCACCCTCCCCACACACGTTTTCTTGTACCTCAGCACTCCTGGCCACACACATCTGGTCAACAAAAACTAGCCAAGGTTTTAGAGGCACACCCCTTCTTTCCTTTTGCTTTGTTTCAAATCCATTGCTCGCTCCCACCTTCTGTTTTAAGGGTCCCCCCCAAAAAAAAACCTAACACCAGTTAACAACTGCACCTTAAAACAGACACAATACTAATCCCAGGAACCTTATTGCTCAGCCAGGGACCCAAAGTAATTCAATGCATCTTGCCAAACATTGCGGCCCAGATTGTCTTCGTTCTGTGCCTCAGACCGTCAGACCTGGATGCCCCATTTGAGGGGCGGGGGAGAGACTCAAAAGGATACCCCCACCAGCCCCTAGGCCCTTGCAAACCCCCCCCAAGTTTAACTCCTTAAGAAAGCTTAAACCCTTTCCTCCCTAACAACACCCCTCAGAGCTTCTCCCCATCTCCGTCTTCTATGGGTTAAAGAGACTATTGGAGTTCACGTGTAGGGTTAGAACTGGGAAGATCGGGGTTCAAATCCCTTGTCCTGCAGTTGCTCAAGATTATCATGGTTCTCCTGACACGCACGACCCCTGCTTCAAAGGGTTCTGAGGATAAAACCAGCGTGTGTACGTTTATGGCACCTTGAATAAAGCTGGAGGGTGGGGGTGGGACGCACTAAATAATGGGGGAAATCCTGGGAAGTACAGAGTGTGAATCTCTCCAACATCTCAACCATGAAGACCGCTCAGAGTGATATAATTATACTAGACGGGCGGGATATAAATCAAATAAATAAATAAATAATAAATAACTAAATGAAGACGTGATTCTGGGGCGGCTGTTTCCTCTCAATCTACCTACTCACAAAATTTTGTAGAGATGCACACACACGCAACTGAGAACGGACTAGACAAAAATAAGAAGAGCAACTAATAGTTACAACTGAGTGAAGACCCGTGGTGTACGGCAAGGGAGACCTGGGTTCAAAGAACACACACACACACCCCGGGTCTTGGCGTGCTCTGGATCAGCTTGGAATGGGCAGGCTTCCTGCCTTTCTCTTGGCCTAGACTACCTCGCAGGGGTGTGGTTGCAAGGGCAAAAGTGGGGGAGACGGGGAAGAACAACTTTACTTGTCACTTTGACCCCAACGAAAGAAAAGTGGGATATAAATACAATGCATGGAGGTAAGTAGCTGAAGTAATGGCTTCTTATCTGTTACTCAGCTCTGACTCTTAAATCCCCCCCCCCAAAGGGTTGCTCGGGGCTCCTACACAGGAGGAGGGTGGGAGCCTATGGACAAAGGGAGCTACCCCATAGGTGGAAGAAATGGCAGAATAAAGCTTAACCGACCCCCCCTGGCCAGAGGAAAAGAACCATCTCAAGTGAAAAAGGAGAGGAAAGAACCTCAAAGCAGCCTGAAGGGGACCTAAAAGTCCCCAGAGAGATGGAGAGCAGGAGGGGAAAGATGCCTGCATCATCAGCCTTTGTGGGGACGGAGAGGAGGGACAAACAGCCCCACAGAAAGGAAAGAAGCCCCCCATAACTCACTGGGAAAGCCAACTCTACAGAAGTGGGTGTGTGTGTGTGGGGGGAAGCAAACCCATTGGGGGGGAGAGAGAAAAAGCCCAATTTTTACCCCGTGGAGGTGGGGGGGTCAAAAAAAGAACCCTAAAGCCTGCAAGAGACCCCAAATATACCTAGAGAGAACCCTCTCCCCTTCAAGCCCCACATTCAGCCCCTTCCTCCCCCCGACCAAACATGCACCCCAATTTTACCCTACTGGGGGTCAGGCAGAGAAGCCAAAGAGGGGAACCCCCCCCAAGATCCAATTTTTACCCCGTGGAGGTGGGGGGGTCAAAAAAAGAACCCTAAAGCCTGCAAGAGACCCCAAATATACCTAGAGAGAACCCTCTCCCCTTCAAGCCCCACATTCAGCCCCTTCCTCCCCCCGACCAAACATGCACCCCAATTTTACCCTACTGGGGGTCAGGCAGAGAAGCCAAAGAGGGGAACCCCCCCCAAGATAAGATCCGACGGGGGGGGGGAAGTAACCCTGTCTCTCTCTTCCTCCTCCCTATCCCCTATAGACACGTGTCCCGGGTTGGCTCTGGAGCCCAAGCCTTGGGGACCCCCGGACACCCCCTCCAATTCCCCAAATGGGGGGGGAAGGCGGCGGCGACAAGCGGGGCCCCCTCCATCCAGCCCTGGTTTTGTTCTGGATCCTCCCCGCCCGGGACAGA